ATATAAACACACCCAAAATCAACCCCAAAGTCAACTTTTTGGGTGTGTTTATAAATGGGTTTTGAGTGTGTGTAATGATGGGTTTTGGGTGTGTTTATATGTTTAAATAGTGCTTGAGTTTTTTTATAATTTCAACTCCCATTTTGGGTGTTTTAGTGAAACTCCCTTAAATTAAACCGGATTAGTTAATTAATTAATTAATTATTTGAATTATTTTTAAAATTCAAATATCATATAATGTTTTTGTCTGATTGGGTTTGTAGAATACAGCCGCGCGACTATACGTTTGGAATATTCAGAGTATAGCCGGGCGGCTATTCTGTTTTCACACACCCTAAATGATATATCCGGGCGGCTGTACTCGGGATTTTTTTAAAATAAAAACCCGTATAGCCTTTCGGCTTTACTGGGGTCTTTTTTAAATTCTTTTTTATAAATAGTATAGCCGGGCGGCCATACGCAGGATTTTTTTAAATTAAAAAAAGTATCACCTCGCGGGTGGAATGGGATCCTTATTTTACTGTTTTTCATGAATAGTATAGCCGCGTGACTATAGGATTTACATATACAATGATCTTTTTTTTTTTTTTTTTGTAATTGTTTGTTCCCCCATTTTTGTTTATGGATAAGAGTAGTTTAGAGCATTACCCATTACTCTGCATGTTCTTGTTGAAAATTTGGATATGCCTGTTGGGTCCCACTCTAACAACACCGATACTGTCCCCACTTTACCACCCGCCCAATCCGTCAGGTGTGGGGTTTTTATCACAAAAGGCCTCAGTAGTAGTTAGAGTGTGGTAATTCTATTTAAACCCATTTGTTCTCTTTCACTCCACCGATGTGGGATTCCAACAGTTCTTAACATACAAATCCTTCTTCTCCCCAGGAACATAATTTGGACCCATGATTCTAACCTTCAAACATGTCTGGACTTTACCAGCAAAGACACGACCAAACACAAAGAATCAACCCTTGTCAGATGGGGGAATCATCCTAGATACATAAAGCATAAGGGGCCCTTCAAGATCACAGTTCTGGATAGCATTTGCATATTGATCATCAAGGGGACCCTCGTACAAGTTCTCAACACGGTATCTCTGGGCAGTTGAAGTAGAGGGAAGGTGAAAAATGATAATTTGCAATAGGGCTGGTAGCCAGGTCTGCATGACACGCTTCATCAACGCCTTCCCCATCAGCTCCTTTTCATCACTCTTCATCGTGACACCAAGCTTTGTCAACATGGGCCACAACTTGTCCTTATGATCATTCATACAGGTGTTGATAATCTGCTTGATGGGTTCATAACAGAACTGAACGAAACCACACTTGCAGGTAGCAGAACCAGTGTTCTTGCTGGTCCATTTCTTGGTAGCTGGGTCAAAGTAGTTCGCACCCCAGAGCCTTTCCATCATCTTTGATTCATCAACTCCAAACTTGGATGCATACATCTTGGCAAAGTTGGTCAGGGTAAAAGCCCATCTGTGCAAACCAGCTGAAAAGGCGACTGTTCCTTTCTCTGGATAGACCTGGACATCACCAAGAAGGGGGTCTTCATATGTAGCCATTATGACGTTAGCATTCTCAATAACCCTTTGGAATGCTCGGTAAGCCTCCTCTCATTCGACCTGGAGCTCAAGGAAGCACCTGTCCATCTTGTTTACAGTCAAAACAGGCCTGATCTTTTCTCCAAAGGCTTGACGAAGCAGAGTCTCTGTTTGGACACAAACACCCTCAATGCAATCAACCACCACAAGTGCACCATCAGTAATACGAAGAGCAGCTGTGACTTCAGATGAAAAATCAACGTGTCCAGGGGAATCAATGAGATTGATGAGGTACTCATTTCGGTTTCTCTCCCCCTTGTAGCTCTTCAAAGCTTCATCAGTCATCTCACAGTAGAGAGAGATACCAGTAGATTTGATTGTGACACCACGCTCTGCCTCATCTGCCTCATCTGCACGGGTATCTGTCATGCGGACATCACCAGCAATTTCTTGTGCAATGATACCAGCAGCAGCAACAAGAGAGTTGGTAAGGGTTGACTTCCCTGCATATTAAAATTCAGTACCATTATAGCTATGAACAAGCACACAGGACATTGAAACATGAACAAGAATGTAATGCAAATTTGAAAGCAAAAGGACAATTATGCATTTGAGCAGGGCATAGATACAAGAAAGCAGCTCAAATTAACTCAAACAGAACACTATTAAGCACTCCATTATGAGCAGGTGAGTGAAAATAATGTTACAAATATAAGAATTATCAAGTGAAAAAAGTTATCGATACCATGATCAACATGTGCAATAACGGACATATTGTGAATGTTATGCTTGTAGTCCGTAATCCTACGGAGTTCCTCTGCTGTAAACCTCACCTGCACATATCAATAATATCTCTCCATTAAGAATTACGAAATTAACAGAGTAGCCCAACAACCAGTAAGCTTAGATTTGATAGATTACACTTACCATCTTGACTAGTATTAAAGAGAAACCACCAATTTGTAATTATAAGGAGGTGAACCACCTGAAAATTAAAACCATAAAGATAATGAACCGAGGGTTCAATTGAACATTCAAGCAAGAAATTCAAGTAAATATCTATGAATACCCTCTACTTTGATAACTGTTACTGTATCAAATATAAGGAGGAGGAGGTGGAAGAGAGGTTTTTTTTTTCCTTTTGATTTTTAGTTTTTAATTTATTTAGTATTTTATTTAATTGGACTGTTTTACCCCTATGTAACGGTAGGACCAATGCGACGATTAATAAAAGTTGGCGGACCATTTGAATGAATAATTTAGTTAAGAGACCAAAATGCAACTTAGGTATAAGTTTGAGGACCATTTTGGGAGGAGAAGACGTGCTTATGGCACATAACCAAATTATTTAGAGCTCAATAATCAACACTAAAGGCGTTTGTTCTTTTCTATTCAAGGGCAAATTAGATTTCCCCTTCTTTACACTTTTTTCTTTGAGTAATATTGGAGGTATCCACTCATTGCACCAACTAATGTGATAGTGCTGTAGTTGTTGTCCAAATGGGGAAGACATTTCAACAACTAGAACAACTTAAACCCACACAAGCTGTGCAAATACATTTTGAACTCATATTCCAACATAAAGGAACATTCATTTTTTTCACAAAGCATGATAAACTAATGCTGAGTAGCTCAAATGTGGTAAAAACCCTTTTGACTTGATGTTTCCCTGGACTTGGGAGAGTACAAACAACAATCCCTTCGAGTAAAAGGAAAAGAGATTTAGCTATCAGAAAAGTAATTTTGTTATCTCATAACATACTGTAAATTGTAATATGTTAATCACCCCCAGCTTTCTCCAAAGTGTTGTACTTATGCTTTACCCTTCATCCTGAACAAAATTTCTACCTTTGTACCCTGTAATCTCATTCTAATTGGATAACAACTTTACAATACTAAGCACTGAATTATTGTGGTTTATACACCAAAATGCAGAAAGCGAGGAATTTACTTCATGAGCAGTATGTTTATGGGACAGTGTGGTCATGATTTGTCATGTAAAATCAAGGCAGATATTCATTTACTTAATTCCCTTTAAGCCTTTGGTTCAGATAAACCTGGATGTTCCAAATATAACTGCACAGATAGAGGTTCGCTACTCATCGATTTAATAGGAGTTATTAATGGAGGCTGTTGCCATTGCTGTGTGTCTGTTGGAATCCATAACTCTGCATCCTTGTACTTGCCTGACGTAGGGATCGAAATTACGCGGTTATCTCCCACCTGCAATCAGTTATAAAGGAAAAGCTTACACACCTAGCAGCAATATCGAAAGGAAAGCGGACATGAAAATCCAAACCATGTTCATGAGCTCAACAACCACCCAAGCATATGGTCAATACTCAACCAATTAAACCAAAGCATTTGATTGAAAGTAGCAATTTTAAAGCGAAAACCAAACGGAACTACAGCATTGAAAAATAATTATATCAAATAGTATTCTAAGAAAAAACTACAACACTGAAGGACAAAAATGAACATAAAACTTACCCTGGGGAAGAACCCGTGTAAGGGATTCTGAGAAGGGAAGCTTGATAAAAAAGGACCTTAGTGAGAACTCCAGGTCAGCTTCTTCCACCCTTGAGCCATAAGACTGATTCACAGTGAGCTTAAATATAAATCTTTCCACAGGGATGCTATCACTGTTAAAGAAAATAACTGCTACTCTCTCCACCAGACCCTAGTTTGTAAAATGTACGTCTGTTTTAGTGAAACTGGAACATCACCGGAATAAATACATTGAACGAATAAGAAAGACTGCATCTTTCTTAAAAAAATAATAATAAAAAATAAAAAAAATCCAACCCGCCCAGCCGCCCAGACCTGCCTAGGCCGAATTTTCGAACACATGAGATATATGAGAAATTTTTGAAGAAACAAGAAAGAAAAAAGTAGAAGGAAATAAATGAGTAAAGGATCAACCTTTTGGATGAAAGGATGAAGTCCCGAGACAGCAGAATGGATATAATCCCTGAGTTCAGGGTGACGAGCGCTATGAACCACCAAATTCATATATTTCCTTCTTTCAAAAGCACCTTTGCCCAAAACCAACCATCAGTGAAAGCAGTTGAAAATGCAAAAACAACAATTACTCATTATCCCGCGAAGCTCATATGCGCCAAAGTTCAAATCTTGTTGAAGGTGGTCTATTTCCTGTTTTTATATTATTTTTGCATTATAACTAAAAACTTTACATAATTATTAAATAAATTATAAAAACAGTTATTAAAAAAAAAAACAGAAAGCCTTGAAATAAAAGGAAACATCGAAGCTAACCACATGAGGCCTGAAAAAAAAATAATAATTAAAAAAAAAAGCTAACCACAGGAGGAGTGCATATATCCCCCAAACACTTTCTACTCCTTACGTATCAATCGTTCTTAAAATATAAAAAAATTTTAAAAAAAAACTTTGTGGCTTCTTCTTTCTCTTAAACTCTAATTTTCTAGTAAGTAATCATCATCATTCATCAATCTCTCTTTTGTTCTTTTTCCAATCCTTTGACAATTTTTGTTATTATTTCAATTTCAGGAATTTCAACACCAAAAAGAGAAAACCCTAATTCCTAAATTCATAAAGACCACTCAAAATCAAATAGTCAGATTCAAATTTCAGGAATTTGTGTGCAAAATCTCAGGGACGGCCCTGGATATAATCCCTGAGTTCAGGGTGACGAGCGCTATGAACCACCAAATTCATATATTTCCTTCTTTCAAAAGCACCTTTGCCCAAAACCAACCATCAGTGAAAGCAGTTGAGAACTGGGTTTTGCTTTCTGGGTTCCCCAGATAATGAAGAAAAACAGAACTCAAAACCACAACTTTTTTTCTCAGCAACCAAAACAAGAAGTGGGTTTAGAACAAACCTGGACGGTAAATTCCTTTGAGGAGAACGATTGAAGTGATTGCCACCTCCAGGAATTCAACCAGAATCCGAGCCGTTTCACCTGCACCATTTTCAATTTTAATTATACTCATCTAATAGCCCAAAAATGAAGACGAAAACACATCGGAAGTAAGGAGGTCATTGAAACCTTGGGGAGATTGATTATCTTTGCGGTCCATCTCTACAGTTTGGAAGTGCGGTAACTTGGAGTTTTGGTTTGGGAATTTGAATGGTTTCGTACCTTGGAACTTGCAAACTGTGTTGAATAATATTTGGCGGGCCTGACAGAGAGCCCATGGAGACCCGCCTCCTCTTTATTTATTTATTTATTTAAAATTTAAATTTAAATTTAAATTTAAATTAATTAATTTAAATTAATTAATTATTTATTTATTTAAAACAAATATTAATGGAAGGAGGGAGGCAGTCCAATTTGCTCTCTCTTGGGATACTTGGAAGAGAAATAGAAGTACAACTAGATCAATAGTTTGTTAAATTGATGACTTCAGTATTTTCTTTTAATATAAGCGATACTCTAAATTATACACGATAGTTAATTGTTAGTCTAGCATAGTATAGTAGACTAGTCCGAATTATAAATCCTTCAGAAAATGGATAAAAGAAATCTATAAGAGGATAATTGTAATTTATAGGCTTAAATTTTTGAGTCTTTATGGTGAGGAGTAAAATGAGAGGTAAAAAGCTGGTTTAGGAAAACCAAACATATTAAAATAGCTAAAGACCGAAAATATTGTAGCGCAATCTCCTCAAACTCGGATAGCGGGGTCATTTGCTCCTTCAAGCCCTTCCTCTTGCGGATATCTGTAACAAGCTGTGCAGCCTGGTCAGACGACATCATCTCCCAATGATCAAACACACATTCTGGGAAAGCCTGGCCTGAAGTCGCAGCCCTCAACTGACCGGAGAATCCGAAAGACTCAATGACAGGGAGCTAGGCCTTGATGTTGTAGAATGGGGTACCAGGCCTCTGCATTTCCTCAAACACATGCCCACGTTTCTGGTTAACAACACAGTAGATGCCACCAAGAGCCTGCTCCGGAGCTTGGATTTCGACGAGATATACTGGTTCAAGGAGCCTTGTCTTGGCAGTGAGCTGGGAAGCATAGATGACCCTCCTAGCAGTGGGAATGACCTGACCACCTCCTCTGTGGATTGCATCAGCATGAAGAACCACATCACAAACTTCAAAGCAAATACCCCTCATGTTTTCTTCCGCCGATGCACCTTTTTTGAAGCCCACTGGAAACCAGCAACAACAGAGTCCTTAATTTCATTAAGGTACTGAACTCCCTCACACATATCCACCACCATGTTAGGACCGGTGGTCTCAGGGCCAAAACACCAGATTTTCTTAGCAAGATCCTTGTCCCAACCGAACTCCTCGGCCAAGATTTTGGAACCAAATTTGGGATCATCTTTGGGCCAATACGACCATCATCAATGGCCTGAGGAAGACCTTCCTCCAAGGGTTGAGCTTCCATATACAGACTGTTATGCTTGTTGGGTGACTTGCTCATCACAGTACGCGACTAGACTTTTCCAGGACAGTTTCACGGAAAGAACAACGGGGTCAGATTTTATAATCTAAGCTCCACCCATGAAATCATCCTGTAGATCCTTCAAACAAATCTCAAGATGGAGTTCACCAGCACCAGCAATAATGTGCTCTCCAGATTCCTCAATGGAACAGACAACCACAGGATCAGACTTGACCAGACGTTTGAGATCTTCAAAAAGTTTGGGAAGGTCAGAAGCGACCTTACATTGAACAGAAGCACGCACAACAGGTGAAACAAAGAACTTCATAGCACGGGTGGGGTGAGCATAGCCGAGCGGCCTTACTACGGAAATTCTTTTTGAAAAAATCGTATAGCCGATCGGCTTTACTACGGCAATTTTTTTTTTAAAAAAAATAGTATCGCCGCAAGGCTATACTTATTTTGACGCGTGGGCGCCTAGGTCCAGAGCGGGTTCCCTCCCAATAGTATAGCCGCATGGCTATACTCTGGAATTTTTAAAAAACTTTTAAATAGTATAGCCGTACGGCTGTCAGAAGACAAAAGAAAATAGTATAGCCGATCGGCTATACTGGTTTTCACAACGTAGGCGCCTAGCGTTAGGCTGGGGCTGTTAATTATTGTTATAAATCGTATAGCCGTGCGGCTATACTCTGGTATTTTTCATTTATTTATTTTCCAAAATAGTATAGCCGGGCGGCTATACTCGGGCATCTCTTTTATTTATTTATTTTATTTAAAAGAAGTATAGACGCAGTGTTACCGGGTTTTTTTTTTAAAATAAATTGTATAGCTAACTCTTTATATATATACTAGGAGTAGTTTAGATCATTATCTAGTAGTATTAGGCCATTACCGAAATCTCTATTGTCCCCTTTTAATTGTTTTTTCTTTCTGTAGGCGCTTTTTTTCTTCCGGCAGCTACTACGGGCCTGACTGCCGTAAAGGGCAAAATGGAAGAAATTGCCCCTTGAACCTGAGTTCGAAAATTAAGCCCCAAAATACCTCGAAAAGGCAGTAGAGCCTTAGGAAGTATTTTGGTTATCTTCACCAACCAAAATAATGGCAGCTTACAGGTAATTTCTTCATGCTTACAGATAAACTTTTGAGTTTGGCATGAGGGGCTTGTGGCATGGAAGCAAAATTAGCATGAGTTGAGCACCAAAAAGGAAATATGGCTTCCTAGGGAGAAAAGGGAGTGTTTAAGGTGAGGAAGAAGAGGTTTTCAAGCATATGCACAAAATCAGGGGTTTTGGGAGCTCAAGGCTCTCCTTTCCCGCAGCTGCACAGTGGGGGACTCCATTAACAGATGCACATGCTTGGTCTGAAGGGTGCTTCTCTTCCTGGCAGCTTACATGCTAATATTCCCTTGGGTCCTTGTATGTTTCTTTTGCTTTGAAACTTGTTTCTTCCTTCTCATCAACCAACGTGATCTTCCATGGCTTCTTTATGGCTTTATCCTTCAGCCAATAGATGGGGTTTTTTAGTTGTTTGCTACCTCTATTTTCTAGGATAGGAAATCAGCCCCTTAAACAAATGGGCCACCCCTATCAAATATTGGGCTATTTGGGTTAGTTTTAGTGGGCCATTTTGACTGGGCTTTTGGTTGGACTATTTTCCCCTTTTTGTGCTCACCCATATGTTTGGGCCTAAGAAATGGGCTTGGGTTCCGAGGCTCCCAAGCAACCCGAAACCTCCCCTTCTTGGTCTATCAATAGGCCTCATGACAATTTATTACCATCCATACCACAACCCACTCAAGCAAGCCCCGGGCATTTGAGTGGCTTGGGGCCACCTAGGCCTTATGCCGGGTTTGGGGGGGGGTATAATTCCTTACTTGGCGTGGCATGTCGCTTGGCGCGCTTCAATTTTATCGTCCTTGAAGAGGGACACGGTGCTTAGTTTAGCATGGGCTTGTATTTTATAATATTATTTCAGCCCTTGGCATGACAAATTACTTATTTAGCATGACGCGTGGACTATGACTTGTATATGACGAGCCTTCGTGTACTCCGATATGTGACTTTTCTTAATACAGTATCGTATTGGGCCAAAAACTTATTTGGGCCCGACCGTGGACTTTTTTTTGGGCCTCAACATTAGCCCCCTTGATTATTGGGGCCATGAATGTGTATTGAAATGGTCCGAATAATCAATTTTCAGCCTAAAATAAATTGCAGTGGCATGGCATGGCATGAGTTTAGGAGCAGCTCAAGGATGACCAGTTAAGGGTCTCTGAAATTACAGCCAGGTCTTTTCCGGGAAGGTTGGAGGGGTCGCAATGGTCCCGCTTAAAACCCAATCCTTCTTAAACACCAAGGGTGTTGCCTTGAAGAACTTTCCTAGACACTGTAATTTTGGAGGTCATTTACTAGAGTTACCAAGAGTTGACCTATTTTATGGCATGATATAGAAGAAAATGCTTGATGGATTAGCCCAAGATAACTACTTACCTTGCGTGATTTATTTGCTTGAATGACTAGAGAGGCTTGATTTTGCATGATTGTGGTTTGCAAGAGTTGCATTGACTTGTGTATCTAATATTAGTTATGTATGCTTGATTTTGGCTTGCATGATTGGCTTTGACTTGTATATTTGGTATTTGG